GACTGAAAAAGACTGAACCGCTACACACAAATTGTCTCATTTGAAGACCTCTCTTGCAGATGCAGACATGGTGCCCTACATAGTCTTTTTCCTCAGACAATTGTATGCACATACACACATTTCTGATTCCCAGAAAGACTCAGGGAACAGAAAGACCTTTCTATGCAAGACCATTTTCCCCAACATTCAACATCACATCTTGGATCTTGTAAGCATGTCATTTTAGACATCTGATTATCAGTTCAAGTTGAGCAAGTGGGGATTAACCTACTGGATTTAGATGTTTCCATTTAAGCTTAGCATTGTGTTCTTCCCTTTGTCTCACAGCACAGAGGAGGTAAGATTCGTTCACACTTTTTTGGTAAGAACAAAGATCCTTTTAACTTCTTATCCAACAGTGGCCAGAAGCAGAGGCATGAAGAACAAGAACAGGTGATTAGGAAGGATACTTCCCACTAGTAATCTCCCAGCTACTAAATGTCAGAACAAGGACTTTGAATCATATGTCGTTCCTTTGCATTTACCATTCACAAGTTTATTCAGGAGCTTTTGTTCACCATTTTGGCCTTCTCCCACCTTTGCTTGACATACTGCTTTGTCAAAATGAACCAATCCTGAGCTTTAAGGAGCTAATGTCTGAAAATGAAGCAACTCTCCTAGACCTTTCCTTTCTCCAGGACCATAACCCATGGGATTCTTTCAAGCAGATCCCTCAAGAACCCAAATTCTGCTCTCCTGAAGTCCAGGGCTCCAGTACTGCTTTTTGCATTGCTCTCTTCTCTCTGGTTGCTGAGCTAAAACACTGCATTATCACTGCAGTCAAGGATGCCCCTAACCTTCACATCTACCACTAATTCTTCCTCATTTGCAAGTAGGTGGGCCAGCTCATCAGTCACTTGTGTCAGGAAGTTTTCATCAGCACACTCTAGAAAAAACTGCTTGACTGGTTCTGCGCTGCTGCACTGTCCTGCTGACAGACATTTCACACAGTTCAAGTTCCCATTGAGGACGGGGGCCAGTGAATGTAAGGCTTCTTTCAATTGTCTGAAGATTATTTCTTCCTGGTCAGGTTATCTGTAGCAGTCACCCACCAGTGTCACCCATACTAAACTGCAATCTAATCCTGACCCATACACTATCAGCTGGTTCATTACACGTCCCAAAGCATGTATTTCAGCTGCTTCCTCACAGGAAGGGCAATTCCTCCTCCTTGCCTTCATAGCCTAATCATAGAATCATAAAACCACAGAATGGTTAGAGCGGGAATGGACCTTAAAGATCATCTAGATGATCTTTAGAGGATGCAGAGAAGGCAGAGTTGATGAATGCTTTCTTTACTTCAGTCTTTACTGCTCAGTTCAGCCCTCAGGAGTCCCAGATTTTGGAGGTGACAGAGAAAGTCGGGATGAAGAAGACTTCCCCTTGGTGAGGAAGATCAAGTTAGAAAACAGTTAAGTAAACTGGGTATATGCAAGTCCATTGGTCCTGATAGGATGCACCTGCAAGTGCTGAGGAAGCTGGCAGAAGTCATTGCTGGGCCAGCCTCCATCATCTTTGAAAGGTTCTGGAGACTAGGCAAGGTGTCTGAGAACTGGAGGAAAGCCAGTGTTACCCCAGTCTTCAAAAAGGGCAAGAAGGAGGACCCAGGAGACTACAGGCTAGTCAACCTCACCTCCATCCCTGGAAGGATGATGGAACGACTTATTCTGGGCATCATCTCAAAGCATATGGAGGAAAATAAAGCTATCAAAAGTAGTCAAGGTGGATGCACCAAGGGGAAATAATGTCTGACTAACCTGATAGCCTTCTATGATGGCATGACTGGTTGGACAAATGAGGGGAAGGCGGTGGATGTTGTCTACCTTGACTTCAGCAAGGCTTTTGACACCATTTCCCACAGCATCCTCATTGCTAAGCTTAGGAACTGTGGGGTAGATGAATGGACAGTTAAGTGGATTGAAAACTGGCTGAAAGACAGAGCTCAGAGGGTCGTGATTAGTGGCACAATAACTACTTGGAGGTCTGTAACAAGTGGTGTTCCCCAGGGGTCAGTACTGGGTCCAGTCCTCTTTAATATATTCATCAATGACCTGGATGAAGGGATGGAATATACACCTTCAGCAAGTTTGCTGATGATACAAAACTGGGAGGAGTGGTTGACACACCAGAAGGCTGTGTCACCATACAGTGAGATCTGGACAAGCTGGAGAGTTAGGTGGAGAGGGACCTGATGAAATTCAACAAGGGCAAGTGTAGGGTGTTGCACCTGGGGAGGGATAACCCCCTGCACCAATACAGGTTGGGGACTGACCTGCTGGAGAGCAGCTCTGCGGAAAAAGACCTAGGAGTCCTGAGCCAAAAATGTGTCCTTGTGGCCAAGAAGGCCAATGGCATCCAGGGGTGCATCAAGAAGAGTGTGCCCTGGTGAGGCCCCATCTGAAGCACTGTGTCCAGTTCTGGGCTCCCCAGTTCAAGAAGGACAGGAAACTGCTGGAGAGGGTAGAGCAGAGGGCCACAAAGATGATGAGGGGCCTATAACATCTCTCTCATAAGGAAAGGCTGAGGGACTTGGGTCTCTTTAGTCTGGAGTAGAGAAGACTGAACGGGGATCTGATCAACGCCTATAAATCCTTCAAGGGTGGGTGTCAAAAGGATGGGGCCAGTCTATTTTCAGTGGCACCCAGTGAGGTAACAGGCACAAACTTGAACATAGGAAGTTCCATCTAAACATGAGGAGGAATTTCTTTACTTTGAGGGTGGCAGAGCCCTGGAATAGGCTGCCCAGAGAGGTGGTGAAGTCTCGTTATCTGGAGACATTCAAAAACCACCTGGACATGTTCCTGTGCAACCTGCTCTGAGTGGATCCGCTTTGGCAGGGGGGTTGGACTAGATGACCTCCAGAGGTCCCTTCCAACCCCATATCATTTTGTGATTCTGTGATTCTGTGATCTAGTTCCAACCCCTGTGCCCTGGTCCCACCAGACCAGGTTGCTCAAAGCCCCATCCAACCTGGCCTTGAACACCTCCAGGGATGGGGCAGCCACAACTTCTCTGGGCAACCTGTTCCAATGTCTCACCACACCCAGAGTATAAGAATTTCTTCCTAATATCTAATCTAAATCTCCCCTCTTTCAGTTTAAAGCCATTACCCTTCGTCCTATCACTCCAATCCCTGATGAGTCCCATCCCAGCTTTCCTGGAGCCCCTTTACTTACTGAAATATAAGGTCACCCTGGAACCTTCTTTTCTTGAGGCTGAACAACTCCAACTATCTCAGCTTGCCTTAATAGGAGAGGTGCTCCAGCGCTCTGATCATCTTTGTGGCCTGCTCTGGACACTCTCCAACACGTCCGTGTCCTTCTTATGCTGGGGGCTCCAGAGCTGGACACAGTACTCCATGTGGGGTCTCAGGAGAGCAGAGGGGCAGAATCACCTCCCTCAACCTGCTGACCACACTTCTTTTGACGCAGTCCGGGATGTGGTTGCCTTTCTAGGCAGCCAAGTGCACACTACTGGCTCACGTTGAGATTCTTATCCACCATCCACCCCCAAGTCCTTCTCTTCATGGCTGCTCTCAATCCAGTCTGGCTTCATCCACTATAGTACTTCTGGAAGCTATCCCACCACACCTCCATGATCCCAAAGCTCTGCAACCAAGCAATTGAGTTAAAACTGGGACATGTTGGAGAGGCACCCAGGCAATGTGCACTAACCTGCACTTCACCATGCATTTCAGTTTTTGGGTCATGTGAGCTATCCCATCACTTGTCTATGATTGACCTGAGATCATAGCCCTGAAACTACTAGCAGAGCTCTAATTTCTCTAGCTTGTTCCTCATACTGGCTGAGTTTATGCACAGGCACTTTAAAGAGGCACCCAGCCATGCTAATTTCCGGGAAACTGTAAGAGGACTTTCTTTTTCCCCATAGATACTTCCTTATTTACAGACACACGCTTGAAGTGCACTCCTTTCAGTCCGTTTTTTTAAATGAAGTCTGTCCTGTTCATATCACTCCTCAGATGTTTTATATCAACCCTTCATACCACTTTCTCACCTGATTATTGATCATCCTTTTCCTCCTCTGTTGTTCCTAATTTAAAGCTCTTCTTACCAGGTTGGCCAGCCTGTTGCCAAAGATATTTTTGTCTCATTTAGTCAGGTGGATCCCAGCTCTTCCAAACAGTTCTCAGACCTCAGAAAGAGTCCCATAGTCATAGAAACAAAGTCCCTTTTGCCAATGCCAACTGTGCAAACAACAGTTGACCAGAAGGATCCATCCACTGCTCCTTCTCACCACCCTCACCACCTCACCTGGCCCCTTACGCCCTTGACCATCACCCCCAGAGCCTGCTTGCTACTTTCCAGGGGTCCTCTGGCGGTATCATTAATGCCCACATGGAACAGCAGCAGGGGATAATAGTCTGAAGGTGTAATAAGGTTTGCGAGCCTTTAAACAATGTCCCCACTCCCAATTCCATGGCAAGGAGTAAACCTTGCTAGATGACAGGTCCAGCTGTCAGAGGGCTTTTGTTCCTTGCGAGAGGGAGCCATTCATTACTAACACTCACCACTTTTTCGGGTGGCTCATGGTCAATGGGCTTGTTTGACAGGTTTCCTAACCCCTCATTTGCTATGAGAGCACTGAATCTATTCTGTAGTTGCAAATCTTCAGGTGAAGCAATATCCTTCCTGTTGGTGCCAGAAGTCACAAGCTCCCAGCCTTTGTCATCATGGGAACCTCCATTTCCCATCAGCACTAAAAGAACTGATTTTTTTTTCCTGTTTTTTGTCTATCTTAATGCCATGAGACTTCTTAGAAGTGTCATGTTTTCACTTATAATTCAAACTTTTTGGTATTATTTTATGCCCTCCTTGAAAGCCACATCATGTTTCTTCATGTGGTATGTTAGGTCAGAAACCACTTGAGAAGTCATGTGACTGCCTGTGTAATTCAAAATTCTGTGTAGTGAAAAAGAAGAAAGAGACAGTTTTTGTAATGAAATGTATCACTGTGCTTGGGGACTGGAGTACCACAATGATATAAACAACATAGGGCCCTGTACAAAAACCCAAAGAATGAAAAAAGACAATATATTTCAGGGAAGAAAGGAGGTAGGTGACTAAAATGATTAAGGAGAAATATAGAACTTTCTTTTCTTATTTCTATGTATTCTGTAAACATAAAGCTCACAGGGTTTCTAAAACACAGAATAAAGGCAGAACCTGGAAATTCTGTACTCAATCAATCATTGAACTATTCAATTATTGTTTTTCCATTTCCAGTTTCAGAAGAAAATATGATTCTGGATATCCTCATGGGGCTGTACATGTGTATAATTAGAATATATATCCGTGTTTTCATCTCCTGTTTTCACAACACTTTTGAATACCATGAAGAAAGCGTTATTTATTGGCGTAAGTATTAGCAGTGTGTGGACAGATAAGCTTGTATTTGGAAGTGGGACCGATCTCACAGTTGAACCAAGTAAGTACCATTATTTTATTTCTACAAATTATGTTAAAATTAAGATGGGGAAGGACAAAGAAATCTAATGGTTTGGGTTCACCGTAAGAATTTTCTGCTGCAATAATCCCTAGAGCGCACTCTCTTCAGCCAGGGTTTCCAGCTAAATCCTCAGCTTGTGTCTGCTTAGGAAGGCTTCACAGGAACAACTGGGCTACCTCTGTATATCACCATTACTCCATGATCCCCAAACAGCTGGTGTGGACTGCTTAACATGTCATAATTGATTCCTAGTCTGAATAGCACTCTTGCCCAAATTTACTGTGAAGTGCCCTATCCTCCAGTGGATTTTCACTGTCTCATTTTGAGCAAGAATGCACAGCTCAGTGAAGAGCTGACAGTTAAGAGCTGGAGGAAAGTTTTGAGAGAGATCTTTAGCTCTCTGATATGAGCATACTCGTAGTGCCACCAGGCTAGTAATTCCACTGGCATAAAGACAGAGGAGGAAAGATGTTAAATATCCTTGGGCTTAAAGTTGTACAACTGCCTTGTATCCAAGACCACTTATAATGTATGAAAATTGGCTACCAAGTTGCCTAGGCTTTGAAAACAGACATGGTCAGTAGGGATTGTAACAAGCCTTAGATCTTCGTATCTTCATTTGGAATTTCATGATGTACAAAAAAGGTGGATGTCACCTAAGCTTTTCTGTGGGAGTGTGAATGTTAGGGCAGCAGAGGTGTTTGTTAAGTTGACATTTAGTTAGGCATCCAGGTGCCTAACTTACAACTTGTTACAATGCTTTCAGAGGTCTGCATGTCTTTAAAGTGCTGCAAAATGTACCATGTCATTTTACATACCTAAAACATCCTTGCATGGTACATAAAGGGCTGTTTTGGAACAATTTAATTCTACTTCCAATTCCAAAGGGACAAAGGAATGCAACGTTATTTTTCTGAAGAAAGATCTGTTCTTTCCAACCAGTGAATCCTCAGTTGCAAATGTAGGACCAGAAGAAAATGCCAGATTCCACTATTTTAACATCAGTCTATATTGATTTGGAGATGATATTTGTCAAAAAAAAAAAGAGGCAAAATATCCCATAAACAATAGTAGAATTTGGCAAGAAAAAAACAATCAACAAAACAAGCTGGCAGGTGGAAGACGTTGCCACTTCAGACGTGCAGAATTGTTGATATAATACTCTTGTTTCTCACATAAAGGGTCTCATTTTTTTTTTTAAATAGCTTAGCATGCTGGTTTGTCTCCTGACAAGAACAGATTTGTTTCTAATCAGCTGAAGGTAGCATGTGAGTCATTGGCTGCAACAAGTTATTCTTGGTTTAAGAAAACTTTTACAGTTTATTACTCAAATTTCTAAAATTACTTAATTGGGTTTCCCACAATTTGGGTTAGAGAACAACTCATTTGACAAGAGAAAGGTATTAGCCTCATCCTCAGCCTCTACCCTGAAATGTTTTAAATCATTCTTTCTCTGTTTTTCCTGCTTAACTAGTCTCTTTGACATCCTGATGCAATATTACATGAAACTTCAGTTGAGTGAAGTTCACATGCTGATCAATAATTTCTCTTTTTGTAGTTAAGGATAGGATGAGATTTTCAGAGATGCATAGACTTTAGGATTATGTTTGACAGTAAACAATGTTAGGCCGCAAGCATCTACATCACTCGTCTGTTGAAATACTTAATAAGTTGAAGCCAAAGGTTCCAGAATTTGCACAACCTGTCCCCTTTGTTGCTAAAGTTGGATTTCTTTGGGAGATACTAATATGCATTTTAGATGTTAAGAAGAGACATACTTTATCAACTGAATCTTTTGAGAATCTCCAAACACAAAATGTAGAAAACATGTATTAGTAGTCACTATAGGATATTCAATGCATATGCTCCTCTTGAAGGCTCAGTTAAGGACAGATAAGCTTTTTGTGTTGGTTTGGTTTTGTTTATTCTAGAGAAAAACTTTCATTAAGAAAAGTAGACCCCACAGCATTAAGGAATTTGTAAGATTAAAGGGAAAAAGAAGTACAACTTTTTGTGCTAATAAAATGCTGCTGCCAAAAGATAACCTAAAAATCCCTCCCAAAAGCAGTGGGAAGAATTCATGGATGTATTTTTAGGTAATGCAAAATGATGGGACTCAATTGAGACTTCTGGGGTCTGACAAAGAAACAATTCTTTATTAACTAGAATTGTTCATGTGTTCTTGTTGAGGAGCAACCCAGTAAGTTTTGCCAGAGAAGCAGCTTGGTAGTGTACTGGCTGTTTGGAAATACTGGAGATCAGAAAACATGAAAAACCTCTAAAGATCTTATTAGATAACAAAGAATGCACAGGAACAACAGGCTCTGTCAAAACCATACTACAGCACCTGGAAAGGAAATGTATGCAGAAGAAATAGCAAAATGAGCCCTTTTTGATTTACACATTTTAACTGTGTGTAACTGCTGCTCTTGTCTTTGGGAAGGGGACTCAACTGACTGTGGAGCCAAGTAAGTATTCTTTATGTATTAACCTCTTCTGAGTTGCTATTGTTTGAATTTTCACTTTTTTTCCTTTTCTTCCTCCTAAAATCGAGGCAGCCACTCCTCCATGATTTAAAGTCATGAGGGGAGACCTTATCAACGCCTACAAGTATCTCAAGGGAGGGTTGAAGGAGGAGGGAGCCAGACTCTTTTCAGTGGTTCCCAGTGAGAGGACGAGGGGCAACGGGCACAAGTTGGAACATAAGAGGTTCCACTCAAATATGAGGAGAAACTTCTTCACGGTGAGGGTGACAGAGCCCTGGAACAGGCTGCCCAGGGAGGGTGTGGAGTCCCCTTCCTTGGAGATTTTCAAGACCTGCCTGGATGCAGTCCTGAGTAACATGCTCTAGTTCTAGGCAATCCTGCTTCAGCAGGAGAGTTGGACTAGATGATCTCTATGGTCCCTTCCAACTCTAAAAAATTCAGTGAAATTCAGTGAAAAGTCACTAATTAGACTTTAGGCTTTCTATGCCTAACCTTTTGGTATGCAATTAGATAATTTAAGTATAAAAAACATGCTGGTTGCACCTCTTGGGAGTTGCCAAAGAATTTGGACTCCACCAAGGCAAGTCCTGGCTGCTATCATAATGAATTTCTTTGGGACCTAACATTTATCTGCTTACTGAGGCATCCTAATAAGCTTTTCATTGTAATTGTTAGGTTTCAAAGCCATGCTTGGACAGTAGTGAAAGGAGCTAAAGTTCCTGTGGCTATTGACATTGATAAATTCCTAAGAATTTCCATTCTGTGAGAGTTAGAAAGACAGCACTGAGGGGAGAGGATAACATACAAAAGCATTACATGTAATCTTATGCAATATTTCTGTACTAGTTTAATCTTACTACATTGTTCAGAGTTTGAGTTAAACTGAATAGGTCAAATGATTCCTATTTGGCATCTCTTTGCTGTAGGTGTTGACAAGCATGGAGTGGTGTCTGGTTTATTAGTAGAGCTAACCCATGCAAAATTCAAGGCCTAATGCACCTCTCTGTAGCAAAGAGGCCCATCAGGATGCTCCTGTCAAATTGGACATGTAAATATTTTTGATATGTGTCATAGCCTTTCCTAAGCTGAGCCCTTTTTGATAAGGAAGCATACTAGATTATTCCCTTCAGTTCCATGTTTTTATTATAATTCATGTTGCTGATCTTGTTCTGACATTGGTATTTGGAATCACCCTGGTTTCTTCACCTGAGGACAAAGATATTTCATTTTTTAAAAAATCATGGTATCATAATGTTTTTTTGGCTACTAAATTATTTTGAGGCCACTATTTTGAGGTTCCTGAAAAGACATGCCCTTCAAGTTTAAGCAATCTTATTTCATTACTTGTGTGTCTTACAAGAAATTATCAGAGAAGGCTGCTGCTATATATGTACGTTGAAATTCAGGCTTTTGCAGTTGTCAAGTCTTTGTCATTCATATACGTTGTTTGGAATTGGGAATTCAACTCTGAAATTATTTCAAAACAGAAAAAATACATCTGAAGGTTTCAGAGTAAGTCTTTTGAAAGATGCACAAGAGAGCAAGGATACCAAATCCTGTGAAAACTTGTCAACATCTTTCAAGTTCTTTCAAAATCCCCGTTCTAAGGCATATTTTTCATACCTTGATGTTTGTTGGTGACCTAGGGAACTATCACTGCATGTTATTACACTAACCTAAGGAAGATTGTAAGAAGATCCGTCCATAGATATCAGGTTCCTAGACCTTGGGATGTTCTTCCGTCAAATCAGTTTATTTTACTGCATTATATTAACTGCCCCCGAACCTGTGGGACTAACAATATGGCACAGCACATAGATGAGAAAGGTCACAGTTTTTGGAACAGGCACAAGAATTTTTGCTGAACTAAGTACCAATCCTATTCTCTTTTCATTTTCTCCAGACTAGGTTGTGAGGTTTTACACCATGTGCAATGTCTAGTGGGGAAAACCTCCCCCACAATTGAAAGTTCTTGACCTTATCAGATACTTCTGGAGAAGTGGAGACATGCAATTTACAGATTTCTGATTGCTTGCCTCCTACTTTCCCATCTTAGAGACAAAAATCCTTCTTATCTGAGCATTTGTTATGGAAAAGATCAACCTTGTCTCCTACTCCAGCAACATCACTTTATTTCTGCAAGTAATGTCGTTCACTGGAGTAACCTTGCACAACAGTGAAGCAACAAGCTGACTTCTCTTTGCCTTATCACTCTTGCTATGGTTTGAACATCTAGCCACATCAGAAGATGATTTGGGGGAGTGGAGGGAGAACAAAGAAAAAGCAGTTATTCCCTCATGTTTCATGAATATGCAAGACATTCCTTGATAGAAGTGTTGTTTTTTGGAATTAAATTGTTGAGAAAATAATTTAACTCTTGGAGTGGCATGCATAAAAGTTCTCTTCTCATTTGCAGGTCCCTTATAAAATAAAGAATTCACATACAGGCATGAGCTTTGGCAAAAAGAAACTTAGAATCCTGTGGAATTAAAGCTCCTATAAAAAAAGAAAAACCTACTCTAATACATTCTTTCTGACTTTGATCTGATCTTTTGGAAGTAGCAGCAAGAAATAATGACAAAAAATCAGTTAGTCATTGACAATGGTAGAAATTAGTCATAGCTGGAGTACATATAATCTTTATGTGACTTAGCACTCAGGCAAGCTTGCAATAAAATCAAATCATGCCCAAATAATGCTTTTTTTCTACAGACAATCAAAAAAGTTCTAACCCAGAAGTTATTGTGATGAAATCAAAGAAATGGAAAGATGACAGCAAAGGGAAAGCAGCTTGTTTGGCAAGGAATTTCTATACAAAGGACATCAGCTTGGAGATGTCTCCTAATGAGGTCGTATATGAACCAAGTACATCCATTTTGACATCAGAGTACTTCTACGATACTATTAAGGTGGTTGATGTAACAAAAGATCAAAAGGTGACCTGCAGCGCCAAATTCGACGACAAGACTATTACAGATAACATCACATTGTCAGGTACAATTTTGTGGTACAGCTGCCACTTAGTTCTGGAGGCAGTGTCTTCTAGCACTTGCTATTCTGTTGGCAGGCGTTTCTCTGGGTAATCATGTGAAACAGGAAAGACATCTGGTACTTAAACAGGTAGAGCTGAAAGATATTTAAAAGCATCTAAAATAAATAATCTTAACTGTTTAACAACTTGGAGTTACTTTTTTGGGAGGAAAAAAAAGACAATTTTTTTTTTTTTTAATGTTTGTTCACTTATGACTGAATACTTCACCGCAGAGCAGCAAACCTCCTAGAGCTCAGCCTGAAATAGGCTTTCTAAAAACAATAAAAAGTTAAAGTGGTGGTGTGGTTTTGGGTTTGGTTTTTTTTTTTTCCTATATGACTTTTTATATTTTGGGGAATTGTTTTTGTCATCAGCTCCTCAAATTAATGTTAGAATTAGTGACCGGTCATCTGAGCTTCAGACTGTCCTGCCCACATGTTCCTATGGGAAGGGTCATATGAACATTTTGTTTATTCCTTTTTAAAATCCGGATATAGTTTATAATGCCTTTTCTTTATCATGCTACAGAGGAGGCTGAAGAACAAGGAACAGTGAAGGTTTGCAACACCACAGACACCTCTGTACAAGGTTAGTTACCTAAACAGTTTGTGAAGTTATATTACTATGTTGGGGATAAATGCATGGAAATGCATTTTGTTGGGGCACAGGCATCAGAATGCAACATATTCATCAAGCACAACCTGCTTTTTAAGGGTATCTAGTTTCATAATCGACTTCAACAGGAAGCGCTATCCAATCTAGAGAGACATCCTCCTCCCCTTTTGTTCCTGTTTCTCTATCATCTTTTCCTTTGCTGCTGTTTCTTTCCCTGAAACTATTACTTGTGGTTTTTTCCACTTTCTGCCAATATCACAATGTCCAAATCTAGACCCTGATCTCTCCTATCTTTTCTCTATTACTAAGCAGATACCAAAGTGGAGAAAGCAAACATGCTGTCTATGGCTGTATTGGGTTTGAGAGTCCTGCTGGCAAAAAGTATCGCCTTCAATACACTCATGAGTATCAAGTTGTTTCTTTTCTGAGGTAAGGAAGCACATTGCTTGATCTGTAGAAATACTGGTAGTACATGCCAGGAATGATTGCCTCTATATCTCTAACTGCACAAACAATGATACCTGTTTATCTGCTCCTGTTTCCTTTAAATAACTCTTGTAAATTTCTGGAGAAAAATCCAACAATGAGGACAACCGCCCTTAAAAAAAACCCAAAAAAAACCAACCCAGAAAAACAACTACCACCCTTCCTCTGAAATAACTAATAAAAAAGCCCCCTTCTATATCCAAAGCTCAGCTCTTGGTGGTTGGTCCCCAAAGTTTTGCAGAAAACTTACTTTGCGAGAGCAACTCAGATATTACCAGAAGTGCCTAAGAGATATCTCATTGACTATTTCGAGTGGCAGAGCACAAAGCCTGGAGAAAAATCAAGTCAAATAAGGAGTCAAAAGCAAGTGTCCCAAAATGCAAACACGTGAAGTAGTGGGAGGAAAGAGAGGAGAGGGGGGGATTTTTAAATTAAGGTATCCAAAGAGGTACAAAAGACATTCCAGACTAAGTTTTGTAAGTTTACCTGCCTTGACCTGACAACTATCCAACAGTGGCATGTAGGCCCACTTGCATTAAATGAATTAAACAACATACTTCGCTCTTGCAGACAGCGGGGAAGCAAGGCAACAGCAATCAGAAGAACAACAGGAGGAAGTGTGTACCAGCAGCACAAGGGGGTGAACAGCCAGTGTCAAGTGTGCTGATAATAACCTACCAGAACACAACACAGCACCTTCTCCTTAGGACATTTTATACTATTGAATCCTGCCTGCTTGTTTATTTAGTTTTAACAGTTGTAACTGCTTTTGCTATTTCTTTCTCTCTGTGAACCGAGGAGAGTGTATTTTTCCTCATCCCACTGATAAGTAGAAATTGATCTAGGCTTTGCATCCAACCTGCTTCAATAGTTTTGAAAACTCCAATCCTCACTATAGATATTTCACTCTGTTAGAAGACATTTTACAGGCATGTTACATTACTGTCCGTAGAACTGATGTATCGCTGCTGAGAGAATTTGGGCACAGTAGATGCTGTTTATAGACTTAATGTTGTTTAGATAGCTTTAATAACATTAGTTTTCTAATGTAGATGAGAAGACCTGTGTTGGATCTGAAGTGATTCAGTTCAACCAGATAATGTTGTTGAGCATTTCTTTATTAAACCTGTATTTCCTCTGCAAAGTGTATGACATATACATCGTAGTAGTAGTTGATGTAGTAGTGACCAAATTAAAGTCTTTCTAAACCAAAACGCTGTGGTTTATTCTGTGCTTTTTGTTCTGAATTTGGGATGGAGATTGCTGAAATCTCTTTTGCTGAACTGTCATAATGACTACTGAGATTAGAAATACAGCTTTAATAAGCTAGATTTCCTGTTGGTTGAATTTTTCTTTTCCAGACTTTGTACAGGGAAGTGGAAATGCTCTTTGGCACATTACAAAGCTTCAGTAGGGCCATGAATTCTAGACTTAGGGGACTGAAATGAGGTCTGGTCTTTCAGATCACTTTGAAGAGACTCCAAAAAAATATTTTGTATCATTGCAAGAAGAGACACGTGTCTAAAGAAAAATCAGTTAAGAGGCAGCTTGATACGAGCATGATGAAGGAAAATACACATATCAGAAGAGAAGAAAACATGCTGTTTTTTCCACTCATTGGTACTAGGAAGGGGCCAACAGGAAATAATATACTGTGCTTTGATGGAGTGATAGTTTCCATAGCACCTTGGTCAAAAAGACCCCAGTACACATATTCTCCAACTCATCTTTCTCTCTCAAGCAACAGGCAGGATGCTGTGGTTGACATTTATGATGAAGTCACACCATGCAAGATTAACTCCCCCTTGTTTTGAAAAACAAGTTAACCACATCCTGAAGGGGAAATAAGGTTTTTCACATTCCGAGTTAGTGCTGGCTTCAAGACAGCCTCTGCAGCTGCATAGTAATTTAATTAAGCTTTGCCAGCTCAGTCCCTCAGACCCTGCAGAAACCTTGAAGACAACCCTCACCCTATACAGAAGATAAGTGAAATTTGCATAGCAAGTCCAAAACCAGTAAAATGCTTTTTATCTTGCACTCCACACCTTTTCACAGTCTCTCAGACTCAGACTGGGAGTACCACCATGGATGGTGACTCATCCACTTCCCTGGGCAGCTTGTTCCAAGGCTTAACAACCCTTTCAGTGTAAAAATTTTTCCTAATATCCATCCTAGACCTCCCCTGGTGCAACTTGAGACCATTTCCTCCTGTCCCATTGCCTGTTCCTTGGGAGAAGGAACCCCTGCCTCGCTACAACTTCCTTTCAGGGAGTTGTAGAGAGTGAGAACGTCTCCCCTCAGCCTCTTTTTCTCCAGGCTGAACACCTCAAGCTCCCCCAGCCGCTTCTCAAAAGATTTGTGCTCCAGACCCTTCCCCAGCTCTGTTGCCCTTCTCTGGACACGGTCCAGATCCTCAATGTCCTTCCTGTTGTGAGGGGCCCAAAACTGGACACAGCACTTGAGGTGGGGCCTCACCAGTGCCCAGTAGAGTACTTCCCTCATCCTAGTCATGATACTAATCCTGACACAGACCAGGATGCTGTTGGCCTTCTTGGCACCCTGGGCACACTGCTGGTTCATATTCAGCCAGCTGTCAACCAAGACCCCCAGGTCCTTTTCTGCTGGGCAGCTCTCCAGACACTTTTCCCCAAGCCTGGGATGTCCATGGGGTTGTCATGCCCCAAGGGCAGGACCCGGCCCTTGGCCTTGTTGAATCTTATACTATTGGCCTTGGCCCATCCATCCAACCTGTCCAGATCCCTCTGCAATGCCTTCCTACCATCAACAGGTCGACACTCCCACCCAACCTGGTGTCATCTGTGAACTTACTGAAGGCACACTTAGTCCCCTGAAGTGGGCTAGCCTGGTGGCCAGGCCTGTAGCTCCCCTAAGACTTTATTTCAGGTCAGATTACATGAAATAAAAGGGCTGTGTCACAGCCAGCCAAAATAATATTTCTGAGTCAGGCTACCAAGGATGGATGCTGAAGACAGCCCAGGCATCCTCATGCTGTAGCCAAAGAAGGTGCAGTCTGTTTTTCTCACTTTATGTGGAGAAAACTATTTAATTGTCTGTGTCTAGCCTTGTTCTGGAGGCAAAGGCAAGAAGCAACTTATGGTCGTTTAGACTAACTGGGGATAAGAGAGGAAGAGGGAACAAAGTGCATGAATGCACCCTTGGGGAGAAGAGAGGTATCTTGTGAGGAATTTTGGCATCTAGGTAGCTGCTTTCTAGAGAAGGGAAGATAATGGGAAAGGCAGTGCTATTTTAGACCACAAGATCCAGCTGGAATAAGCAGATACATGTGCAGACGCAAAACCCCTATACAGCTCTTAAACTTCTAGAAAAAAATGTGCTGGATTTATTAGTTGAACCATTTCCCCTGACGGAAGCTATCTAGGTCTAATTATTTTACTTTAAGTTAGAAAAGAGCCTGTACCCCTCTGTTCTATTTTCTGTCATTGTGATTGCCTCTGATTGCCTCCACTGGCAGTGGTTTTTCACTTTACAGTTGCAAATCTATAATTTTGAGCCAATGCAGAATGTGTAAGTTAAGAAAACAGAAGAATATGGTTGTTTGCAGAAGAAAATCAATAACAGGGAGCTTTTGTACAGCCCAATAGTAAGATTGTGTTGGTGTGGCTAATTCCACAGAAGAGGGCAGAGTCTGCAACTCTCCCAGCTGATATGAGCTAAGGAAAAGTTTTTGTAGAGAAATTGTGCTCCACAGTAAAGGCTCATGGAATCATAGAATGGCTCGGATTGGAAGGGACCTTAAAGATCATCTTGTTCCAAGCTCCCTGCCATAGTCAGGGACATCTCCCACTAGACCACGTTGCTCAAATCACTGTGCAACCTGGCCTTGAACACCTCCAGGGGTGGGGCAGCCACGGCTTCCCTGGGCAACCTGTTCCAAAGTCTTACCTCACTCAGAATGAAAATTTTTTTGCTAATATCTAATCTAAATCTCCCCTATTTCAGTTTAGAACCATTATTCCTTGCTCTACTCCCTGATAAAGAGTCCCTCCCCCATTTTTCCTGTAGGCCCCCTTTACATACTGGAAGGTTCCTCTGTTAAAATCAGCACCTTGGGATTTGCAATTATCCCTAAATGGGAAAAAATAACATTGTCCTGTAAGAGATCTGATGGTATCAGAATAATTGATGATGATGATAAGCAGAACTCTTTAGTTCAAAACATTTTAATAGTACTATCAGTATTGACTGACAGATTTAGTTGTGTCCATTTTTGATTGTATTCAGGAGGCCTTTGAAAATGTCCAGGGGTGGAGTCACTGTCTCTGGAGATATTCAAAAGCCAGCTGGACCTGGACCTCAGTAACCAGCTCTAGATAGTCCTGCTTGAGCAGGAAGACCAGATGACCTATGGAGGTCCCTTCCAGCCTCAATCATTCTGTATTTCTGTGATATTTTTTGTCATATATAGAATGTTTGCCTAGACATTTCAAAGATGAAAACCTAGGATAGGACTACAATTATTTGAATAGCAGAAATAAATTGCACATTAACAGCACAATTCAGTAAGGAAAAAAAGCAGCTTGTCCTGCCCGATAGTTGCAGATAGAGTGGTCAGGAGCACTAACAGAGTCAAATAAAGCACAAGAACATAAGTCATGAGGTACTTAACAAAAGGCAAGAATGCAGTATGGGACATGAGAAGACAGTGCTAGCATTAACACTTAGTACAAAGGCTTGAATATTTTTCTTTACCATCTCTCATGGTGAGAGGTGGAGGACAACTGAAGCTCAAATAATTTCAGTATTGCTGGTGTGAGGCAGGCTGTAGGCAGCTGAAGCCCACAGCTCTTGAGTGAAGACTGTTTTGAGCAGCCCCAGGGGAAATGTTAGAGGCAACGAGCAGAAACTTGGCTAATGTGGCAATTCAAGCTTCCAGAGCCTGAACACAACCTGAAATTTCTTGAAGACAGTGTAAGGTGAGCAATGTCTTATCAGACAGACAAATAGGTGGGATACCTTTGAACCGTATAAAAGTATTTAGCCTTCAAGGTCTCTTGACATGATTACAAAAGCAATAATGCTACTAGTGGAGCTGTATTACACTGTATTACCCTCCATCATCTCTGTTATCCATCCTGTGACAAATCCTTTAAAAATATATGTGTCTCTTTCAGTGAAGCTGCTTCCCAAACCTTCCACTGTAAATTCCTTTGCTTTGTTGGGACACCTACAGGGAATGGCCCAGCAGGTTATCTGCCCCCTCCTTTGCTTTCAGATTGCAGCAGCTTCAGTTGCTCTTAGTACAGGTGCGTGGGTGTTTGCATATTCTGATTTTTCTTCCTTAAGCCTGAAGAAGACCTTCTTCTTTTTGAATAGTCCTTGCTTGGACCTTTTCTGAGCATAGTATCTGCTGCTTTTGTCCTTCTTGTAGAAGATCCTATGTGATTTGTTAGCTTTATTTTAAGGTCTGCTATTCAAGTAAAACAGAGTTCACCTATCAGTGTGTTTGTTTAAAATATATATATAAAAAAAGAAACAAGAGAGGGAATAATTTACTGTTCTGAAGTATTATTTTTTTAAAAATACTTTATTGAGCTACTGAACTTCATTGCTCTTATAGCTACTTTCGCTCTTGTCAGGAGGCCAAACTGAGGCCAGACAAGGAGACAGGATGGGATCAAACAGGGAGCTTGCCAGGAAAGGACAGTGTTCAGTATCACTGTAAAGAGGGAGAGAGGAAGGAGCCTGAGGGCAGAACTGTTCAGGAAAGGGACTTTAGCAATCACTGAGAAGCTATAGCAAACAAATGCTGTGATAGCTTGGATGGGCAACTATATGTTAGATGTTTGATAGCAGAGACAACAACCCCTTCATTGTCTCATGGATGTACATACGGGAAATTAAGATCTGTCCAGTTTAGGGCTAATAGTTATTCAACAGTATAAATGAGAATTTTTATAGCACAGAAAAGTATTCTAAAGTCACTAGTAATGACTGTAGTTTGACCTTTCCCTCCTGTCCATCTGACTGCACCGTTTTTGTCAAAGAAAGTATTCTTCAAACTTAAGCCTGGCCTAGGATTCAGAAACTGCTCCCAATACTGTTACACTTTCAGAATAAGAACAAACTTCAGAGATACGTTCATCCAAAGTAGGAGCTTGCTCTTAAGTCCCTCCAAGCAGTATTTTCTCTCCACCCAGTGTTAAAGCCTGGAAACAGCTGATGTGAACATCGT